TTATATCATTATCAGTCCTGGTTTACGTCCATTAAAAACAAAAGAAACCATGGCTTACGTGTAATTCGTGATTACAGTATATTTCTTTACTTTACTTTATTTTTCTATGACAATGGTATCTTTGTGATTATTCTATAATTATTCTTATATTCGTGGATCCCTTCAACAAAATATGTATCCTTGCAGTAAAGACAGGACAATAAGATTTCCCTAGGATATTACAAGAATTATTATCACGGCGATACTGTTATTGTTACTACTGCACTAAACGAATGACGGGTGTGTTACCGCAAGTGAAAAGACAAAATATATGATGCAAAAATATCTTTTATTTAGTTTTTTTGGTTTGTGTCTTGTTTTTAACGTCCCTCTCGAGAACCTTTTCACTCATAGCGACACCGCTACCTGTCGATTGAGATCTGCGAATTTCGGAATTCAGGGCCATTGAGCAGTGAGATAGATCTCTCGTGCGAGCATCCACTGAGACACATAATTTCAATTTTTACGGTCTTAATCCGAAGGACCGGTATCAACGTCCACAAGTAGTTTCTTTTATGAATAAAATGTATTTTATATGTTCGCTCATGTATACAGAGCTTCGTTTTATACCAAAAACGATTTTACAATATGGTATTTCAATGGCATCAGCAAATTGTCAAATTGTCCTCAGCAATGAACCATGAAAGATATTTTAGCCCATTTTGATCGGAGTTTTTAAAAGATCGTCTGATTTAATATAGTGGAATTGCTATTGCCCAGCTTTGCAGTAGGTGCTGGCAGGGAGAAATCCTCCCTGCTCAATGGCCCAAAGTGCCGAGTATATATAAGTTATAATTTACAGCACTCAGTCAGCAAATGGTGACGTCTCCATATGAGTGAAAAATTATTTAGATGTCTATTAAACTACATCGAACAAACAAACATTATATTTCTTTTTTAAGTTTTCTTCATTAAACATTTTATACTGAAATGATTATTTAGTTATTTCTGGTTACATGTATAGCTAGACTAGTTAGTTTTTCTTATCGAGAGTTACACTGTAGTTATCTCGTAAAAATTTAATTACTGTTGTAACATGTTAGTTGATTGGATAAAAGAAGTTTCTATAACTTATTAGGATAACATATGCTGCCTACTTCCCAATGCGTTACGTCAAACACGTATTATTCCGCTTGACTTTACTTTTTAAAAGTGTCCTATTGTTGTCACTTAATGATGGAAAATTAATAAGGAATGCCTAAGTTATATTAGTATATAACTAGGTTGTAACAGTTAACGCATGTTTTAATAACTGCTTTGCGGTTTATAAAGCGTAAATGTCCCAACCCAGGTTATACAGGATATCACCTGGGTACATAGCTATCATATTTATTCCTTAAACAATAAAATAATTACAAATGTAACCCATCAAAATGAATTTCTTATATTGGTTTTATTACGAGCTTGTAATATATAATAATAATTTTCAAAGAGTAAGTATAGGCTCGTTTCAACAACATAATGTAGTTTATTATCTTGATAAAACGTTTCAAGGAGTTAACAAAATAAGAACAGAGCAAACATGTATCTCCTAAATATCAGAGGTTGGATCAGGTTCAGTGGAGGAGAGAGCATCCCTTATCAACCAGTCACGCCTGCCGTGTTCTCCTTGTAATGTTCGGGGGGAAGGAAACATCACAATCCAGTGCATAGAATAATGGCCTGACTATCACGTAGATTTTGTCATGTTTAATAAACTTATGAGTTCAAATACTGTTTGTTTTATCCACATGTCATGTTACATCTGTAGTTATCTAAAAAAAATTATCTCGTTATTCGGGTGACACTAGTTTTGCTACAAGGAGTTTGTTTATTTGAATTTTTCGTCTTAGCCAATCTTGATAGCTGTGCGTACAATTTTATTAGCCTGTAAAAATTGGACACAGTTCCCAGTATAAAACCGTCAATTTGACCGGCTTAAAAACCCAAATTGGTTTCTTTCAGGTTTAGGGTGAATGAAATGATTATGATAGTCTACTGTATTTATAGCTGTTGTGGTAGTAAGGAGGCGATTAAATAGGTGGCAGGATGAATAACCCAATCTTATCCTGACTCTGTTTTGCATCAATGTCAACGTCACTGTTGGCTGGAAACCATTCAGACTCTCTCTGACAATAGGTAACACGTTCTTATTGTGGGGAAAATGTATTTGCACGTGTTTTGGTCTTTGTGGCATTCTGCTTACGTGAGTTAGGATAGTAACGAACATTCTCATCTGATCCATTTTCATAATTTTCGATCATGCATCAAAAGAATTTTGAGTATTTTGCTACCCTGCTACCTTGCGGGTCTTTTTCCTGACAGTATTTATAAACCAGAGCTTTTTTTCATTTATATTTTTGTACATAAACAACTTCAAATAATAAGCCTCGTAAAAAGTCTAATTATTTTCTATGCAAGAACAACAGCACGTAAAATATCAAACATTTTTACCCGCTCTTTAAAAAATAATGTTTGGGACTTTTATGCAGTTTTTGGACAAGCATCTACCTCATTTGATTAAATAGACTTTTTACATCTGGAGTGTGTATATGTTAAATCAAGTTGATATGTAAATTAATAATAAATGGACAAAATTATGTACAAATAAGTGCTGCAAATTAACAACTTCTAATAAATGTTGAGATGTAAGCATTGGTGATAAGGACAACTACTTTTAAAGGCAAAATAGTCCGTTCAATTTTAAAATCCATTGAACTCTCTTCATAATATCTGATTAATGGACTACTATCAAAATTAATGGACTAGATCTAACTTCTGTAGCATTTGCATTATTGAAATATTTGTACAGGATATATAACAGTGTATTGAGTGTTCTTAAATCATATTCTTGTTTAACACAAAACGTGTTTTTCCTAGACTCCAAAATGCCTATACATTGTATTACAGTTACACATTTAACTAGACCTTATTTTTGTCGTTCAACAAAAACGGAGGGCTTTTCGACCCCTTAAAATAAAGAATCTTAAAATAAAGATCAATATTTTACAATAAAGAAAAATCTCATAATACAATATGGCAAAAGTTCTTTTGAGATCAATATTTGATTGGAAACATAACAATTCTCTTTGTACATCAGTGTGTACTCAAAGAGACATAACTCTTTCGTGGTTATTAAACAGATTCGAAAATGTACTGTTTTTCAATCCACTAAAACTCCAATAAGGGGTTAAAAAGTGACCCCATGGCCCATAATTTTTAAACTGTACTCTTTATACCTCATGTAATGTCAAAATTAGTTTGAAGATTGGTTGAGAATTAGATATGTTACAGAGAAAAAACCGTTTTCTGTACTGACCCCTAAAATCCTTTCTATTTTAGGGATTTTTATTTTCAAGACCTTAGAACCTGGAGACAATGCTAGAGTTAATATTCATATGAAATTTCACGAGACTTGCTTGCCTACCTTCTGAGATAATGGAACAATCATGATTTCAAATTTAACATAGAAATCTCCATAGGCAAATTTTAGGTACTTATAAAAAAGGAAGAACAGCTCATATGCATACCGAAATTGAAACATAGAGAGTATATTAGACTCTAAAAAAGGATGACAAAGTGAGATAACTCTTGCACAATTATTTTTGAAAATACAGTTAATTCTCGATAAACCGCCACCTTTTGTTATTTAGAAATCATGGCGGTATAACGAATTTGGCGATGAATTGAATTTTCCATCTTTTAGGAAATAAGACGTAGAGTTATCGTTCTTAGAAATACCATTTAGCGATTCTATTCTGATTATTACATGTACGTGTATATATAAACATATTTCTAAATTTGAAAATATTTCAAGTAATTTTTTTTATGTACAATTTCGCTAGAGCAAAATATTCAGTTATGAAATAAAGACAGGTACATGTGTATGCATGTAAATCTGCACGTCTGACATTGCAAAAAAATGGTTGGGTAGATCGTCGTAATATATTGCCTCTAGTACTTAAAAAAAAGTTCTTGAATAAATTCATTGTTTATGACATCAATGTTAATGAAACATTCGCAATTTCTGACTTATAATTAATTTTTAAGCAAACTTTGCATTGTTTTTAAAAGCAGAGATCATCAAAATAATATCGTTATCGGCGTACTTCCCAGATAGCATGACTATGTTGGGCCAACGTTGGTAAATGGTTGTATTGTTGGCTGGTGGTTGGCGTTGGGCATTTAACGTTGGCCCAACGTTGGGCCAATGCCAATAGGATGCTTTTCTATTTTGATCAAATATAAGTTGGGAAGACAAAGTTGGCCCAACAATGGCGCTATGTAATAAATCTGAGCTTTCCTGTATTTTTTTAACGTTGGGAATAGCTGCATTGAAACCAACGTTGGCCCAACGTTTTAAATGTGCCCTTATCCATAGTGACCAAGATCATTGGGTATACAACTATTGTCCAACGACGACCCTTCATGTGCAGAATATGCTATAATTAAGTTTTCTGCATGTTGGGCTCACCACACTGGACCAATGTTGGCCCAACGTATATGTAATATATCTAAATGATGGTGTTTAAAAAATAGTTAAAATATACGTTGGCCCAACATTAGCCCTACTATGCAATTAGCGCTTTACTACTGTTTCTATGCTGACGTTGGAATAATACATTTACCAACGTTGGCCCAACGTTAATATAAAATAAAAGAATGTAGAAAATATTTAGTATTAGCCCAGCCGGTAGGCTGATCCAGCCGGGGAGGGGTCTTTGATCTAGGGATTTAAGTTATTGAATTTACATTTACCCTAGCTAAAACTGCAGTTGGCAACAAATATCAATTAGTACATGAAATATTTTTTTAATTTTCTTTCTCTCTTTTTGTTCTTATTTTTATTTTGGTTTCATTTTTGTGTTTGTTTTTAGTTTGTGTTTGTTTTTTACCAGTTAATGTTCAATCAACAATTTACAGACTTGTATAAAATCTTAGGAACACCTATTACATAATTGCGCTAAAGTGCTGGTCATATCCTGAGATAAGAGCAAAATTCACTGCTTAAGAAATTAGGTCAACATCATCATTGCTTCTCACAGCAGGAGACTGGCCAGTTTCCTCGGTTACTGCGAAATCTGATATATCAGGATGGTCAGCAGGTGTGACCACTTCACAATTTCGCATTTGAGCAGCTTGGTGCACACGTATTATATTTGTGAGAACAAAGGAATTTGGATATACTGCTTCCCTAGACAATATATGTAAGTATATTTTATAATTTGCTTTGATTTTGTCAAACTCTCCAGCCCAGTGTTTGCTATCTGTCTTTTTATACAGACATCGTACACACATGCACATTTATGAATGTTATACACTATGAATGTGTTAGCATTTACTTTTAGGCAAAGAATTTATGCACAATTGGAGGAGAAAATGTAAAGTCCACTGTTAGAAGACTCTTATCCTACCTTTTTGCCAATGACCTTGCCTTTCGGATCAATTGGAATCAAGGATATAGTAACCAGTAAAAATTATATTTATTTACTTTATTCTGAAAGGGTGAAAAAATCCCCCATTATTTAATTATTTAGTTGTTTAATTAGTAAATCTAAACGTATAAGTTGTAATTTTGTCCCAGGTAAAAAGCTGGAAATATCGTATTTCACCTCTCAGTTGTAGGTGTACAAATTATTTGATCAAAATGAACAGTAGACCACAAACTTAAGAACTTGAAGCCTATAAAATTAAGAATGTCATCAATATACGTCTACAAATTTGTTACTTTGAAGGACTGTCCGAAAAAAACAAGGCAACAGTGGAAGCGAAAGACAGCGAAATTTGCGCCATTGTTAAAGATTGGTTCCACTCTGCCAGTGACCGGGAAGGGGGACGGAAAAACCCACCACTCTGCCAGTGACCGGGAAGGGGGACGGAAAAAAAGGGAAGAGAGGAAGAGGAGAGATGAAGAGAAGAGGAAAGAGAATTAAAAAGGAGGAGAAAGTGCAAATGACACTGAGTAAATAAAAGAGAACGAATGAAAACTGTTTAAATTAATAATATGAAGGATTGCTTGACATTTAATTGTAATTAAAATAGATTTAAAAATACAAAAACATCAACGATTAAAATCAACAGCCAATACATGGATTTTTTTTATTTTCTTATCAGAATATTCCTGAAAAAATCATATTATTCAAGAAAAAATATTTTGAATGTCAATCCGAAATTCACATAAAATGGAGTTTACTAGAATAATGCGAACCATGTTGTGGATGCCGTGAATATACATGTATTTTACTCTAATTGTCCGCAAATGACATTTTTTTATTCTTTGTAAATCAAATGTTAGTCATGCATTGGGTAATCAATTTAATTTTTCCACCGTGTTGGACCAGTGTAGGCCCTACACTTTCCTAGCCATTTATTGTTGGCCCTACACTTACTCCGTAAGCTGTTTATTGTTGGCATGTTGGCCTCTATTCTTACGTATCTATTTATTGTTGGCCAACGTTGGCCCTTAATTCACTTACAATGTTATAAAGTATGTTGGCATAATGTTGGTATTGCTATAATATATTAACATGACATTACTGATATTGGCCCAACATTGGCCCTTCTATAACATGCCATGTACTATGTTGGTCTAATGTTGGCCCTACGATTACAAAAATACATTAGAACGGTGGCCCAACATCGCCCCAACATGTTGGGCCAACAAAGGGCCACAGTGCACTTAGACATTGCGCCAACGTTGGCTGCCAACGTCGGCCCAACAAAGTGTGTTACATTGGGCCAACATTGACCCAACGTAGTCATGCTATCTGGGTTTACAACGACCGCTTTCGTTGCGAAGCCTTGACTAAATGATTTTATTAACAAAATACAAAATTATTCTAACAGTGCATGTTAAAATTATTGTTTACATAATTGCCTGTACCTTGACTGGCTTTGCATGCTTTTCAACAGAGATAAGATTAGTGTCAATCAATTAGCCGCGCTTACATGCACCTGTGGCGGTATTATCGAGATAATTGACACCTAAAAACGGACGTTTGTTGTGAAAACAGGGTGGCGGATGGCGGTATGCGAATTTGGTGTTATAAAGAGAATTTTATATAGCAGGAAAAACGTTCTTGGGAAATCATGGCGGTATTGCGAAAATGGCTATGAATCGAGTGGCGATAATTCGAGAATTGACTGTACTTGAAAATACAAAATTTCAAGTCTCTAAAAGTCCTTTAAGGGGTTAAAAAGTGACCCCACGGCCCATAATTTTCTAATTGTTCTTTTTATGCTTAACTCAAAACCGAAATCAGTTTGAAGATCTATGGACAAATTAAAAAGTAATAAACCGAAAAACTTATTTCTGTACTGACCCCTAAAATCCCTTTTATTTTAAGAAATTTTATTTGCATGACCTAAGCACCGAAAGGCAATGCTAAAGAAGTTTTTCATGTGAAATATTATAAGACTTGCTTGCTTCCTTTAAAAAATAATGGACATCGTATGATTTCAAAGCTAACATAGAAATCTCCATAGGCAATTTTAAGGTACTTATAAAACCGGAAGTACTCTACATATCCATACCAAAATTGAAACATAGAGAGCATATTAGACTCCAAACAGTTTGACAAAGGGAGATAACTCTTGCTCGATTATTTTTGAAAATACTTAAAAATACAAAATTTCAGGTCTTTAAAACTCCTATAAGAGGTCAAAAAGTGACCCCACGGACCTTGATGAAGTCACAACAGTATCAGAGTCATTCTGCATACAAAATATTACAAGAAAATGTTGAATACTTTAAAAGATAATGTTCCATGATTAATTTAGCATGATTTCAAACTAAACATAGAAATCTCCATAGGCAATTTTAAGGCACTCTTAAAACCGGAAGTACTTTTCATATGCATACCAAAATTGAAACATAGAGAGCATATTAGTCTCCAAACAGGTTGACAAAGGGAGATAACTCTTGCACGATTATTTTTTAAAAGACTTAAAAATGCAATTTTTCAGGTCTCTAAAACTCCTATAAGGGGTCAAAAAGTGACCCCACGGACCATATTTTTTAGACTGTCCTTTGTATGCTTAAGTCAAATCTGAAAACTATTTGAAAATTCATTGAGAAATAAAAAAAGTTATGGGCAAAGGTTTGTTTGCAATGTTGGCCCCTAAAAATCCCCTATTTTCAAAAATTTCAATTCAATAATTTGATGATGTCACAACAGTATCAAAGTCATTCTGCATACAAAATATTACAAGAAAATATTGAATACTTTAAGAGAAAATGTTTCATGATTAATTTAGCGTGATTTCAAACTTAACATAGAAATCTCCATAGGCAATTTTAAGGCACTCATAAAACCGGAAGTACTTTTCATATGCATACCAAAATTGAAACATAGACAGCATATTAGTCTCCAAACAGTTTGACAAAGGGAGATAACTCTTGCACGATTATTTTCTAAAAGGCTTAAAAATGCAATATTTCAGGTCTCTAAAACTCCTATAAGGGGTCAAAAAGTGACCCACGGCCCAAAATTTTCAAATTGTTCTTTTTATGCTTAAGTTAAATCTGAAAACTATTTGAAAATTCATTGAAAAATAAAAAAGTTACAGACAAAGGTTTGATTTCAATGTTGGCCCCTAAAAATCCCCTATTTTTAAAAATATCAATTTAATAATTTGACGAAGTCACAACAGTATCATATTAATTCTGCATACAAAATATTACAAGAAAATGTTGAATACTTTAAAAGATAATGTTCCATGATTAATTTAGCGTGAGACTTTTTTTTATTTTTTAGACTGTCCTTTGTATGCTTAAGTCAAATCTGAAAACTATTTGAAAATTCATTGAGAAATAAAAAAGTTATAGGCAAAGGTCTGTTTGCAATGTTGGCCCCTAAAAATCCCCTATTTTCAAAAATTTCAATTTAATAATTTGATGATGTTACAACAGTATCAAGGTCATTCTGCATACAAAATATTACAAGAAAATATTGAATACTTTAAGAGATAGTGTTCCATGATTAATTTCAATTTAAAATAAAACTTTCAAGACCCATAAAACCGGAAGTTCTGTTCTGATTGATATGAAACTTACAATATATGTTTTACTAATAAGTTCTAACATATTTCTATGCTCAAAATAATTTTTGTTGCGTAATTGTGACTTTCAAAAATTTCATCCCCCCTTCTTCAATGTTTGAAGTCTTATATCTCGAAAAGTATTTGTGTTCAAAAATTACATACGCGCACTTTTTTATTGGATTATGTCTCTAGAATTCATATCTCAAATTTGGGAGTCTAGACACTAAAATTAAAAATGTTTTTGGCTTCTTTAGAATTTTCAGTTTTTCTTTAGTAGAAACCGGAAGTGACTATTCCGGAAGTTGTTCTTGTTTCACGCACGAGAGAATTTATTTTGCTATTTAGGAGTTACAAAATAATATACCTATTCTCAAACGTACTCCCTAAATGCTGAACGATAGAAGTGTTCAGTATAATAATAATAACTAGACCTTATTTTTGTCGTTCAACAAAAACGGAGGGCTTTTCGACCCCTTAAAATAAAAATCTTAGAATTCAATATTTTACAATAAAAAAAATCTTATAATACAATATTGAAAAAGTTCTTTTGAGATCAATTTTTGATTGGAAACATAACAATTCTCTTTGTACATCAATGTCTAATCAAAGAGACATAACTCTTTTGTGGTTATTATACAGATTCGAAAAAGTACTGTTTTTCAATTCACTAAAGCTCCTATAAGGAGTCAAAAAGTGACCCCACGGGCAATATTTTTAAACTGCATTCCTTATGCTAAATGCAAAACCATAAAAAGTTTAAAGATTGCTTGAAAAATATAAAAAGTTATGGAGAAAAGGCTATTTTCTGAATTGAACCCTAAAGTCCTTTCTATTTAAGGGATTTTTCTTTCCATGACCTTACCAATTGGAGACAATGATGGAGTCATTATTCAAGTTAAATATCACGAGAATCGCTCGCTTCCCTTTTGATATATGGGACATTGTATGATTTCATATTTAACATAGAAATCTCCATAGAGAATTTTAAGGGCCTCATAAAACTGGAAGTACTCTTCATATGCATATCAAAATTCAAACGTAGAGAGCATAATAGACTGCAAACAGGTTGACAAAGGGAGATAACTCTTGCATCATTATTCTTAAAATCAGTTAAAAATACATAATTTCAGGTCTCTAAAACACCCATAAGGGATCAAATAATGACCCCACGAACCATTATTTTTAAATTCCTCTTTTTATGCTTAACTCAAATCCAAAAACAGTTTGAAGATTATTGGCAAATAAAAAATTAATAAACAAAAAACTAATTTCTGTACTGACCCCTAAAATCCCTTCTATTTTAAGAAATTTTATTTTCATGACCTAAGCACCGAAAAGTAATGCTAAAGTAGTTTTTCATGTGAAATATCGTGAGACTTGCTTGCTTCCCTTTGGAAATAAAAGAAATTTATGATTTTAAATTTAACATAGAAATCTCCATAGGCAATTTTAAGGTACTTATAAAACCGGAAGTACTCCACATATCCATACCAAAATTGAAACAAAGAGAGCATATTAGACTCCAAAAAGGTTGACAAAGGGAGATAACTCTTGCACAAATATTTTTGAAAATACATAAAAATACAAAATTTCAGGTCTATAAAACACCCAAAAGGGGTCAAAAAGTGACCCCACGGACCATAATTTTTAAATTGCTCTTCTTATGCTGAACTCAAAACTGAAATCAGTTTTAATATTGATGGATAAATAAAAAAGTAATACACAAAAATCTAATTTCTTTACTGACCCCTAAAATCCCTTTTATTTTGAGAAATTTTATTTTCATGACCTAAGCACCCAAAAGCAATACTAAAGTAATTATTTTTGTGAAAAATCATGAGACTTGCTTGCTTCCCTTTGAAAATAATGGACATCGTATGATTTCAAATTTAACATAGAAATCTCCATAGGCAATTTTAAGGTACTTATAAAACCGGAAGTACTCTACATATCCATACCAAAATTGACACATAAAGAGCATATAAGACTCCAAACAGTTTCACAAATGGAGATAACTCTTGCTCGATTATTTTTGAAAATACTTAAAAATACAAAATTTCAGGTCTCTAAAAGTCCTTTAAGGGGTCAAAAAGTGACCCCACGGCCCAAAATTTTCAAATTGTTCTTTTTATGCTTAAGTCAAATCTGAAAACTATTTGAAAATTCATTGAAAAATAAAAAAGTTACAGACAAAGGTCTGATTTCAATGTTGGCCCCTAAAAACCCCTATTTTCAAAAATATCAATTTAAAAATTTGAAGAAGTCACAACAGTATCATATTGATTCTGCATACAAAATATTACAAGAAAATATTGAATACTTTAAGAGATAATGTCCCATGATTAATTTAGCATGATATCAAACTTAACATAGAAATCTCCATAGGCAATTTTAAGGTATTTATAAAACCGGAAGTTCTTTTCATATGCATACCAAAATTAAAACATAGACACCATATAAGATTCCAAACAGGTGGGCAAAGGGAGATAACTCTTCACAAATATTTTGTAAAAGACTTAAAAATGCAATATTTCAGGTCTCTAAAACTCCTATAAGGGGTCAAAAAGTGACCCCACGGACCATATTTTTTAGAATGTCCTTTTTATGCTTAAGTCAAATCTGAAAACTGTTTGAAAATTCATTGAGAAATAAAAAAGTTACAGGCAAAGGTCTGTTTTCAAGGTTGGCCCCTAAAAATCCCTTATTTTCCCGATTTTTATTTTCAGGGTATTTTCAGGTATGAACATTATCAAGGTCATTCTAAATTTAAAATTTCACGAGAAAAGTATCATTACTTTAAGAGAAAACGTACCATGCGTGATTACGAATTAACATAGAACTCCCATAGAAAATTTTCAAAGTCCCATGAAACCGGTAGTTTTCCTCTGATTGATATGAATCTTACAGAATATGTTTTACTAATTAGTTCAAACATATTTCTATGCTCAAAATAGTTTTTGGAACGTTTTTTGTGACTTTTGAAAAAAATCACCCCCCTTCTGCAATGTTTGAAGTCTTATATCTCGAAAAATCTCTGTGGTCAAAAACGCCTATGCAAATTTTTTTAAGAGAACTTGAACTTCAAAACTTGTATTTTTCTGTTTTGGAGCTTAGGCATTTAAAATAAGAAAGATTTGAGCGTTTTAAGGAATTTTTGTTTTTCTTTTCTAGAAACCGGAAGTGACGTATCCAGAAAACCAAAACCTTACATTCCGTAGACCTTTGCATGATCTTTAAGATGGTTATAAAATAAAATGTATATTTAAAAAGGATCTCCTTGAATCTGTGACAGAAAAGTGTTCAGAAAAAGAATAATAAAAAAGACGAAAACAATAGGTCTTTTCGACAAAAGTCGAAAAGCCCTAATAATAATAATACAAGACGAAAACAATAGGTCTTTTCGACAAAAGTCGAAAAGCCCTAATTATAAAAGATATGGACAGATATCCTCCGCAATTAAAAACAATGTTCAAATCTACAGTTTTGAATCAATTCAATAGAAAACAGAAAAGTAATAACATATAAATAAACAATACATACTGTAAATGTTTTACATTTGGCTGTGTATTCTAATTAGCGCTTTTGGCGGAAAGGAGCTTTCGCTAATTCAAGTATAACGCTAACTGTCTTGCACATATATACATAAGAACATTGAGAAATACGCTAAATCAAATCTACCGTACGCTAACTCGTTCAAAAATCAATTCCCGCCAAATATCGTACACGCTAAATATAATACATTTACAGTATATCATTTTTGTAAATAATGCACATAGAGAATTAAGACATGTACCTATCTTATGTATCAGTCAAAACGTAGTTTTGCCTTTCTATGTATCTATATACAGACACTATGTCGGTGCATTCTGATGATCCACGCCCAACAATAAGCAGATGAGTTTTGTGATCATAGGCCAGACCATACAGCTCATGTATACTCCCTGGTTTGGTCAACAGGATGGACAAGAAATTACCATCCTTGTCAATCATCTGTACAGTGTCAGTGAGGGTATCAACCACCAGGATGTGTGACAGGGCGTCTGTACAGATTCCTTGAGGTAGTAGTCCTGGTTTCAGTCCTGATCCTGGTGGAGGTCCCGTGTAAGAGAACCGATGTTTGCCCGCCGAGTCAACCACGACTACAGCATTGAAAGTATAATCTGACACAATGATATCTTCATTGCAATTTTTTGTGAGGTACCTTGGATCTCCAAATAAATTTTCACCTTTGTGGTCAAATTGGAGTGTTTGGATTTCTTCCCCAATGCTGTCATACTGCTTTACTATGCCTGCATAAGAAATATTAACTTTTGTATGAAATCCCCTAAAACCAAGAAGAATGTCACCAGCGAAGGCACAGTAGTGGAGACTGATTGGTGATTCTGTTCTCTCCATTCGCATGACCTTTGATTGGCTGTCTGTTTGAATTTTGACATCTCCTTTGATGTCAATATAAAGAAGTTCTCCAGCTTTTGATACTGTGTGTACACCTGGAAATGCAGCTTTGTCTGTAACTTTCTGAAGAGTTTTACCAGATGTGTCTGTCACGATGAGATTGTTCCAATCACTGACCCAGAATTTATCTGGTGTCACAATAGAAATATGACAAACATAACTGATATCATTTACTTTGACTGATCTTTTTAACACAGGTTTAGACACCATTTTCAGCAGCTGTTCATTTACTATTTCTGTTTTCATGATTTCACTTTGGGTTTCTTTTAATAACAGACTCACATCAGCTTTTTTTAAATTATCACTTATTGACAAAAGAGGCACCTGCTTTACCTGTGCAGTTGCTTTGATCTTGTTGATTAAAGTTTTCTTGTAGACTAAAAGGAATTGTACAGGTCTGTACAGTAAATGCTCACTTCGGTGTTCACAGTATTCCGATTTAGCAAGAAATGTATTTAGTTTGGACTTCTGATGTTGCAGTGTTTGAAACAAAATGAGGCTGCATTTTTTTATATCATTTAACAACACAGTATCAGTTAGACTCTTTAGTCTTGTAGCTTTTGAGGACATTGCTGATTGAATACCTGAGATCTTCAAATTGCATGTTTTCGTGTGATTCTGAATCCGTGATAAGACACTATAGTTTCTATGCAGAATCTCGCTTCTTATTTTGTGAATAATTTCTTTGTGTTGCTGTCGAGTTTTACTATAAGCAGCTTTAAGATCCAGCTTTTCGTGATTTCTATGTTCCGTACATAGATTACAGACAGGAAGTTCACAAGACTGACAGTACATTTCATATAACATTTCTGGATGTCTTCCACAACTCTCAGCTTTTTGGATGCTTTCAAATTTCTCTCTATAAATCACAACATCATGGCACACTGTGTCTAGATAACTGTTGTGTCTCTCTTTACACTGTAGACATAGGTTACTTTCACATGTCTTGCAATAGAATTCTGTGTCCCCATTACAAACAGTGCATGTCTGTACCATACACTGTCTGCTGAAATCGTCCATACCAAGGGCTTTGCAAGTCCAACTGTATAAAATAAAATTCATTTTCATTGTATATGTACAGGTAATGTATTGGAATAATTTAATACAAATAGTCTTTAAATGAGAGACTGAAAGATACCATTATTGGAACATATCACGAATCAAAAACCTCGGATTGTTCAATCTGATATTTTTTTTTTTTAAATGCATTTTCCTAAAATGTCCAGTAACTTAAATCTATGTTTCTGTTCCCTGTAGACATAAAAAGACTATAAGTGATCAATTATGGTCTCATTAAGAATTGTTGGGTTGGTGCATGTTAACTTTTGGATGCTTACTTCTTCTGGGCACCTTTTTTACTTCTCAAGTTTCCGGGGCCAAGTTTTGTCTTGTTTGTTATACAAGCATATGCATGTGTACTCCGAAGCTACATGATGATGTAAGAATATCTACATTCGTCCTCAGAGAAATGATTACATATTTATCTTCATTGATTTACTTTCTTAATATCTATTAGAACAGGTCGAGGAAACTATTTTCTGTGACTTTAGTTTAAATTTACATGCTACATGGGGCACTAACGTGATTGACGAACCAACCGATCAGCTAAATGAGTTGCATTATAGATTATTACAAAAATACTACATGTACATTTCGAAAGAGCAACGCAGATATTTTAAAGCAGCACATGGATCAGAATTCTGCGAATTAACACTTTTTTATAACATGTAATACTAATAAATCGGAAAAGTCATAGATAAAACTTTTGCTATCATTATGCATTCTATAGACTTCAACGGGACTTCTACTTTAGGAAGCACTATACCACAACGTCACCATATGACGTCTATAATTAGAAAATATGCCTTAATGAAAAAGTAAAATTTAATAATAGTTATGCAAAAAAAATTGTACCATGAAAAATGGTGCTAGAACATTACTGTCCTATCATAAAAATAATTATTCAACACTTTTGGACGAAACCTTCCAAAACTTTTTACATTTTGTTCACAAGATCGAAAAAAATGCATCAATTCCCGTTAACAATACGATTCTAGCAGCACTTCCCAAAAACAATAGAATAAAAACTTTAGATAGAAACAAAAATTAAGTTTCAACGTATGCGGCGTAGTGTCTGCTTTTATTGAACGAAGATCTAGAAATTGTATAATTATATTAGCATGCCTTATTCATAAGCATTATTCCCACATGAATCACACTTGATATTCATTCTAAATGCTTTTAATCTCCGATTTCTTCTGTTTGTTTACATGAATTCTCGTTACGTTTCACTTTCACTCTGCTAATACTGATCAACAGTTATGACGTCACGAGTTTGGTATTTAACCCTTGTGATAAATACACAGACCCAGAAACGACAAGATTCTGTTAATAATATGCCTCTGCATATTTTGATTCATTTTGTGACCTCAAAATATCGATTTAAAGAAACAGTTATCTCTGAAGTTCATGTCATAAGCTTACTGTGACGTCATAGCATATAGGCAAGTAGAATATTTGGTAGCGTGGACCCTGAGGTCCACGCAGTAAATATATAAGCGAGGTTAAACCGGATGCCATGGGCAAACGACAGGCTACGCATGCGCGAGAATGCTAGAGAGTTCGCGCCTTAGGTAACTTGCCCGTAGAATAATTCGCCTTATTCGAATGAAAACATGCCATTCATTGGCAAATCGCGCTTTTAAATCTGTATATCGTATTTACTTATTCATTTGCAGATCCGATTTTCTCTCTTTTACATTAACTTTTAAATACAAACTAAACATTGATTCTACGGTACAAGCATTTTAAAAAGTATGAAGAAGTTGCAGTATATATAAATACATGTAGTTTAACAACTTGAATGTAAAACGTCATACAACGACTTTAAAAAGATAGAACAAGTTTTCACCATCATTAGTTTTGTACATCAAGGCTCGTAAAATAATTTAATATTTCAGCAATCTAAATATCGTTTGATAAAGGTCTGTAGCAGCGGCTTTTAATGTGTGCTGGGGGGAGGGGGGCTCCGACAAAAAATCTTCGTACTACAGAGCTGTGCTACCCATGAACCATCAGATTTCTATTTTCCCATGAAATACTTCTTCCGTATAAATCTAGAACAGGTGTCAAATCCCAGCCAGTATGAGTTACACGTATCAAAATAACCGATTTTTTAAACTGACAAAACTGGAGGTCGCTAATCGGAGATAAATTTTAAAATTTTGCTTTGAGACAACAATCAGTCATAAGTAGGCAGATAACTGTAGAAAATGTGAACAAACCTACATGAATATTCCCTACACCTAGAAATTTTCTCAATTGAATTTCGGTTAGAAAAAACATGCATATGGCCCACGTATTGCAGTCCTTTTTTAAAGGACAGCAACTTGTTTTAACCTTAACATACCTGAGAAGTTTTTCAAATCCCTCTCGGAAAGACATGTTGCATTTTCCCAAGCACTTTACACACCTAAAACAATACTTAAGTCATTATCTACTGATTCTATGCTCACATTTACAAACAAATGTTTAACAACAGTAAAATTTGAGTTTACCCCACTCCATTGTACAAGTCATTGCCTGACAGTCTTCCCCGTGTTGTACTATAAGGGAATATGAAATTTTCCCCTGGTTTAAAACAATTTATTATACTTCTGCTAAAATATTTCCTAACTATCTTTTATAGTTCACGCATAGCAAAGCTATACCCCGGGGTATAATTTTTGTTATTATGCTTCTGTTAAAATGTTTGCTATATAAAGTTCAGAAGGTAAAATAGCTATCTTTTATGGTTCACGCATAGCAAAGCTATACCCCGGGGTATAGTTTTTGCTATCCACCCTCGAAAAATTTTCATGCAATTTTTGCCTCCAATTTTGATTACCAGCGTTAAATCTATCGACTGGTGATGTCATAATGACTTCAGTAGCATTGTGACGTCATCAAGATTTCAGATTATTCTTGCAGCATTATCTTACTCCAAAAAAATTCAAACCGCAGAAATTATATTATACATCAGTATAATAAAACGCTTATCCACTGGGTGTGAGTGGGATAGCTCTTTTATCAAACCCTTGACAGAAACTATTCCCCTCGGGCAAGCCCTCGGGGAATAGTTCTCTGTCGCGGGTTTGATAAAAGAGCTATCCCACTCACACCCAGTGGATAAGTGTATACTATCCAACCTCGGACAATTTTCATGCAATTTTTGCCGCCAATTTTGATTTCCAGCGATAAATCTATTGACTGATGATGTCAAAATGACTACAGTAGCATTGTGACGTCATCAGGATTTCAGATTATTCTTGCAGTATTATCTTACTCCAAAAATGAAAGAAAAGGTGAGCAAGCTCACATACCCCACGCTCCCCCAAAACTCAAAGTGCTGAAAATCCCGGAAAAAATGAAAGAATCGGAATTTCCCGGTAATATGCACATCTAAAATTGTGTCCTAAATATCTGCAAAGTTTGATGAAATTCTGTGCAGCGGTTTATGAGGAGTTGCGCTGACAAACTGTTCACCACTATATTCAAGATATCCCCAAAAATCTAAGTTGTAAAGTGCCGAAATTCCCAGAAAAATAAAGTAATAGGAATTTCCTGGTAATATGCACATCTAATTATTGTGTCCTACATATCTGCAAAGTTTGACGAAATTCTGAGCAACGGTTTTGAGGAGTTTCGCTGACAAACTGTTCATCTCTATATTCAAGGTATGGCCAAATGCCTAAGTTAAAAAGTGCAGAAATTCCCGGAAAAAATCATGGAATCGGAATTTCCTGGTAATGCACAACCACACATTGTGTCCTAAATACCTGCAAAGTTTGACGAAGTTCTGTGCAGCGGTTTATGAGGAGTTGCGCTGACAAAAAAAAAAGACTGACTGACTGACTGACGGACTGGTCAAAAACATTATACCTCACGCAACTAGTTGCGTGGGGTATAAAAAATCAAACCTAAAATAATATATTATACATCAAAATAATAAAACGCTTATCCACGTTTATTTAGCAAAATGCTTTTCATTTATGAAATGGATGGAAAAATGGCCTTTGTGCCTTCCGATCGCCATAAGATTTTCCTTTTTCTTTCAAGCCAAATATTCCTTTAGTATTCGTAGTAACCCATAATACAATTCTCATTCAGCTGATTTGTCAGTTAAAGTCATGTTGGTGCCTCATTTGCTAATCTGACGCCAAAAGTATATTCAAGGTTCCCATGCAGAATTATTTGTTCAAAAAGAAATTTGAATTCATGACTGTAGAAAATTGTAACACAGAGAATACTTATTTAAGTTTGAATGAATTCAAGACAGATCGATTGAATTACATTTCGACGGATATTATAGGGTGGTGGAAACTGAAACTCAACATATCTTTTCTGTTTACCATGTCTCCACGTGCAAGTCACTTCTTAGCCACATTTTTCAAGAATAATTTACCGTATCTCGCTGTAGTCTCGCAAATTCACGCCAGAGCCACTGCCAGAGCTACTCTGAAGTCCTTAGATTTTATAATTTGCAGGGCACCGAAAATTAAAAAGTTCCGAACACATTAGTAGGGATGCATTGGATTGGACCATTGATCCCTATATTCACCGCTGTGCGCAATGACAACAATATACATGCAAGATATATTTCTCGACTTGTTCAAAAAACTGTCCTCTAATTGCATGTACTGTGAAAACATCCATTTAATGTTGTCTCTAATAGTGACACAATCCCCTTGCAGCATAAAAAACACAAAACAAGAAACGATATCGTTGCGAGCAACGAGAGGTCTTCCGTCCGATTCGGAATTAAAAAACAAAAAATCCAGCAAAAAAAGTGATTAAAAAAATTCGGACACACGGGGGATCGTACCCGGGTCGATTGCCTGAAAATTGCGTGAAAATCTAACGCGATAACCATTACGCCATTGGGAACTGCCGCTTCAAATTTTTAAATGCAAATATCTCAAGACTGGCTATATCTATTCAAGAACAAATTACATCTTAAGTATTCTTGAAAGAGTCTTTAATAACCAAACTAATATCAAAAAAAAAAATTGAAAAACAAAAAAAAAATTGAAAAATTGCAGTTTTTAAATTGGCTTCCGGTAGCGACCGGAAGTAATGACGACGAACGAAACGTCGCGTCCTGGATAGTATTGATCACCACCTATAATCTCTGAAAGTTTCACATTGATATCTTTTACCGTTCTTGAGATTATCCATGGACAAAATGTCGTTTTAAAATCAGGAAAATGGTCCGAAAATTGGCACCAGAAAGGAATTTCCAAAAAATCTCTTGGAACTTTAAAGACTATCTTACTATCTTTTCTGAAAATTTTATGTAATTTTATCCAGTGGTTGTCGATAAATCGTGTCAGGAAAATAATAATAATAATAATAACTAGATACGATCTCGTTGCGAGCAACGAGAGGTCTTCCGTCCGCTTTAGGAAAAGAAACCCACGTAAAATCGAACTGAAAAGAGATTCAAAATTTTGGGCACAAGGAGGATTGAACCCATGTCGCCAACGTGAATGCGCTTTTTTTTTACTTTTTTATCCCCAACGCGCTAACCATTAAGCTATTGGGAGTACTGCTCTAAATATACTTGTGTATACTTTTGCAACAGTTCACCTGTCTAAGAATTATAAAAAGCATTCATAATTTCGCGCCAAACACCACGAGTAAATATTCGCGCCTTTTCTTTGGACTGATCTATTAAATAGGTATGATGGCTTCAATTAGATTTTAAAAATAAAACATTCTTAGCGTCTTTATTTTATTTCGACGTTAAGAAAGTATATGTAACACATTATACACATTACATATCGTATCAAGCCCAGTTACACTAAAGCAGTGAAACGGAAATTAAGTTTTAAGATTGACACTCAATTGCAACGTTCTTCTGTAACGTGTCGGACCTGAGCGGTCAGTAGGTCTGTGCTCGGATTACCAAGTTTTACTGAGGATATGATTGAATGCAATATATATATATATATATATATATATATATATATATATATATATATATATATATATATATATATATATATATATATATATATATATATACAGATAATAATATGACACCTGCCTGGTGTCTTTAAATTAAATGACCTAAGTGCTTTGTACAATTATATATCTTCAGTTAATACCGGCACCTGCCTGGTGCCATATGACAATTGCCTCACTATACAACTGAATATATAAGTCAACAGCCACCTGCCTGGTGCCTCTTGATTTAGCCTTTAACACCTGCCTGGTGTCTTACTGCTTACCAAGTTGCCTATATAACTCTAGCCAAGTGGCTACAATATACTTACACAGTATGATTTAACTTTGTAAGAGCTTCTCTGTCCTAATGACAAACCTATAGCTAACGTCACACAGCTATATTTTAACTAGTCACTGATTACGGCAACTTTGCACAATCCGATTTGATCGATACACCAATTGGTTTCTGTACCAAAGTGAAGATACAAGCCAGTTGGCTGTACTGCCCCTTGTACCTCAACTTAATCAATGATCATAAGTTAGGAGATATCATATTGATAAAATACAACAGATTGCCTTTCTTTTGGCAACACTATTATTATTTTCCAACAGAACATCATTTATCAATAATACTTGTATAATTCTTTTGTCAATTGACCAATTAATTACAATATTTACATTGATTATCTATTATAATATAAACAAGTAACGGGAGGTAACTCCTCCAACCATCTCACTACTACGTGAGAGTCGAAGTAGTTTTTTACATTTCATGTATCCTTATGTCAGAATCGTTTAATCAAACACTCAGCTGCCTCCATAAACCCCTACTCGTGAAATGGCGGAGTCTACGGAGACAGCCGACATTTTGGACCCGCTTCAGATTTTTGAATGTTAATATCTAGACTTTGGATTTGTCAATATTCAAACAGATTATATAGTAAGCATCATTGGAAAGGTCTCTATTACTCAAGCTTAAAATACTTCAAAAATATTGAAAAACAAAAAAGTTAGAAAAATCGACTTTTTAAATTCGCATCTGGTAACAAAAGGAAGTACTGACGACGAACGAAAAGTTGCGTCCTGCATAGTAATTACGACAATCTATCATCCCTGAAAGTTTCATTTTGATATCTTTTACCGTTCTTGAGATAATCCGTGGACAAAATGTCAATTTAAAATCAGGAAATGTCCCGTAACTTGGCACCGGAAGCGAATTTTCAAAAAATCTCTCGGATAAAATAACTTCAGATAATAACACATTGTTTACCTAAATTTCATGAAAATCCATCCAGCAGTCTTTGAGAAATCGCGTGCACAAAATTAGATGGGCGGAAAAATAATAATAATAATAACTAGAGCAAAGCTCGTTGCAAAGCAACGAGTGGGTCTTCCTTCCTAGCGATAAGCAAAAGATTAAATGTTTCTGTCTAGATTGTCAACTTTGCTAACATTCTCTTTTTCGATTTGTCTCAGAAACCCTTACTTGAATTCTTTAATTTGGTGTGAGCATGAGGTCTAAAGGGTACTCTCTCTAACAGCATTCTTGAAATCGTATCCACAACAGTTTAACTTCCAATATTATGACTTTTGATATCGGATATATCATGTTTGTTGCAATTATGTTTGTGAAACGTGTCATACTACAGAAACATAAGTGTTTTGCTACATTACCATCTTAAAAATGGCTTTAAAATCATTTAATATACAATATAACTTAGTAAATAAAATAAACAAATTATATAATAATTCAAAAAATCCAAATGTATTTACAATAATGATGAACAATCTTCATTAGTTGCAATCAGTAAGTAGAACAATACTTTTATAATAAACGCACAGAAATGTGTTGTGTATGTTTCGAATTTGCAGCTTTCCACTAGCAACTGGTGGTACCTCAATAGGAGTGTAAAATTCTCTGAAAGGTATATTGTAAACACATTACATATGGCTGTGTATTCTTTTTTAGCGGCTTTGGCGGAATGCAGCAATCACTAAATCAAGTACAAAGCTAAAAGTCTTGTACATAAACATAAATAAGAATATCTACGCTAACTTATTCAAAAGTCAATTTCCACCAAATATTGTACAAGCTAAATATAATACATTTACAGCATTAAAGAAACAAATCTCTTTGAAGGTATTGCCCTGCATAAGAACAATTTGAATCCCCTACACTAAGGATGCTCTGTGCCAAGTTTCACTTTGGTTCTGGAAAATGATATTGTGAAATTTTAGACAATGATGATAATGGATAAAATTATGTTTTTAAAAAGATTTACTGGTTCCTTTAGCTCAGATGGGCTAATAATAGCTGCAATAATGTAGCCCTCTCCGATTTTTTTTAATCTGATGTTTTCTGGAGAGGGCTACAATTCCATCGCATCTCCGTAATGGTGCAAATATTTTTTTTTAATAGGAGCGACTGCAGGCAAAATAAATTATTTTTACATTCAACTTACTTCTAATAAGACAAATTTTTTATTCACTGTCAACAGCAGACCCCGTTAAATGCGAAAAACTTGTAAAATAACTCTGCATGTTTCCTGGTAGTTTACTTCAGCAGCCATGACAGTTCACGCGTGACGTAATGAGACTTTCGCTTGAAATTTAGAACAACTGAATAAAGCAATTATCGGTGTTTATAAATGTATGTGCTGAATTTCATCACAAAAACATAGGTATACAAAACTATTTTAAGTGTTATTTTTATGCAAGCAGTTATATCTATGTTTGAAATAAGAGAATTCCAAAAAGATCCGCTCCTATAGAACCTAAATTCTCATTGGCTGTCCCAAAATACAATCTATCAAGGTCAGTAAACATGGCGGATAAATTCGAGTTGTGATGTTGACATACACGAAAAATAAGTGATATAGGGATCGTTCTGTATATTTTTGCATTGGTTTATGTCTTGGATGACTACTTATTTGGAGTCAAGGTAAGAAATGTTAATAAAATAGCCATTTACTGTTAATTTGAGCCGAAATCCGTGCGGGAGCAAATCACTCCCGCAGCTGCACCATTAGAGAGATCCTAAGGAGTTGTAGCCCTCTCCCAAAAAAAAAAAAAAAAAAAAAAGGGAGAGGGCTACATTATTGCAGCTAGGCTAATAAGTATGCAACAGGCACAGTTTTGCAGTTGACATTGAAATGCGACTGGACATCTCTTCAATCTTGTTTTAGAAAACTACATGTACATGCCCTATGTACTGAATTCCTTGGAATCATACACATGTTTATTCCTTTAATTAGTTGTATGTGCCAAAATAACAATTTTTTTTACATTATACTGTAAAAAAATACACATACATGTATTACAAGATCTTCTATTCCTGCTGAAGACAGAGGATCTATCTTAATCATTAGAATAAGTAAGTCTAAACTTTGAAAGGGAACACCTTAATAAAGAGGTCAACATGCTACACAAACAAAATATTATTATATTTAAAAATAACATTTATTCCAATGTAATTACTGGTACATGTATTTCTGTTACAAAAACTATTTCACTTGAAAAACTGAGAGCAATTGATATGTTCATATTTGGGGTCAAATCAAAATTTAAAAATGATACACAGTGTGTTTAAAAATTATCTTCACAAACCAAAACTTGACTTATTTTCACTATGCTGTTTATTCCATGTCACATCCAAACAGATGATCTTCTGGCAAATCATGGTCATGCTTGGTATCAAAATTCAGTCTTCAGATGAGTCACACCTATCCAAAAGAAATTGAAATTTTTTAATCTATAATTCTTTTACTAATAAAAAGTGCAATTCATGAGATTATAAATAAGATTATCAAATTGAGAGATAAGATATTGTCACATTTTCTGTGTATAATTTGTAAATTTTAATGTACTCTTTCATCAATTAAAAGAAGTTTACACCAGTTAAGGCAGTCATTTATGCTATTCCCTAATAAGACAACATACAAGTGCAAAGTAATCATGCACTAGTGGGTTTAGGATAATGTGCTAGAGTATTTATGACAACATACTAGCACGAGGTGACAATGTGCTAGCATGTACGTCAGTGATAATATGCCAGCACACTGAATCCAACATGCAGTGAGGCTAACACTCAACAGATTGTTTAAAGTTGTGTTTGCATGATATTTTGTTTTGTGTTAACACAGCAGCATGTTGTTTAAAGCTGCATTGGAGTGGCAGTCTGTTGAAATTAACATGCTAACACACTGCAACTTCACATCATTGGAACACCATAATTTTAAAACTGACAAACCAATATCTTATGATTACTAACTAGGTAATTGCAACTGTAAATGCTGATTTCATGGTGACAATAATACCGGTAATTCACTGTATATCTGAGAACTGATCAATTATAATAAGGCGTGTCCAGAAAGGGCCACTTGCTAAAGCTCAATAGCACTTTCATAAAAGCGTGCCATCTTACCGACACAAAAGACGCCATTAGGCTATCACACAGCTCGCCATCACAACACTGAAAAACACTTTCGCACTAACACAAGTTCGCACCACACGCTGTCACACTAACACACAACACACTGTCACGCTAATACAATTTCACACAACAAAATATCAGGCTAACACGAGTTCACACAACACACTATCATGCTAACACGAATTCACAAACACACTGTCTCGCTAACACAAGTTCACACAACACGCTGTCTCGCTAACACAAGTTTTACACAACACGCAGTCTCGCTAATATGAGTTCATACAACACACTGTCTAGCTAACACAAGTACACGCAACACACTGTCACGCTTAGATGAATTCACACAACACACTGTCACGCTAACATGAGTTTACACAACACGCAGTCTCACTAACACGCGTTTACACAATACACTGTCACGCTAACACGAGTTTACACAATACACTGTCACGCTAATACAAAGTCACAAAACAGGCTGTCTCACTATTCACTAACACAAGTTCACACCAAATGCTGTTGCGATAACACACTGTCATCCTAATACCATTTCACACAACACACTGTCATTCTAATACCATTTCACACAACACACTGTCAGGCTAACAAGAATTCACACAACACACTGTCACGCTAACACGAATTCTCAAAACAGGCTGTCTCACTATTCACTAACACAAGTTCGCACCAAACGCTGTTGCGATAACACACTGTCATCCTAATACCATTTCACACAACACACTGTCATCCTAATACCATTTCACACAACACACTGTCAGGCTAACACGAGTTCACACAACACACTGTCACGCTAACACAAATTCAAAAATCATGCAATATCGCTAACACGAGTTCACATAACACGCAGTCTGGCTAACACGAGTTCACACAATATGCAATCTTGCTAGCATGAGTTCACACAACACACTATCTTTCTAACACCAGTTCACACGACAAATTTTCAGGATAATAAGCTCACACAACACACTGTCACACTAACACGAATTCACACAACATGCTGTCTCGTTAATAAGAATACACACAAAACGCTGTCTCACTAACATGAGTTTACACAACACGCAGTCTCGCTAACACGAGTTTACACAACACGCAGTCTCACTAACACCAGTTTACACAACACGAAGTCTCGCGAATACGAGTTCAATCAAAACTCTGTCTAGCTAACACGAGTTTACACAACACACTGTCACACTTACACTTTATACACGATTTTACACAACACGCTGTCCCGCTAACACGAGTTTACGCAACACATTGTCAAGCTAACAAGAATTCACACAACCCACTGTCAGGCTAACACAATTAAGTTCACAAAACACACTGCCTTGCTAACACAAATTCATACAACACACTGTCTCGCTAACACAAGTTCACACAACACACTCACATTGCTGAGTTTAAAGTAAAGGTCTACCCTAATTTGAAGAGGTTAAAAACTAACATATCTCTATATTAGTAAAAAGCTTCAAATTTAAGACAAAAACATTTATGCAGTAATGTTCCTTAACATGCATCTGGCATATAAAATGAATGAGACCTTAAAAACCTCACAGTACATGTTTACTTAGCTAATTAAAGGTCTAAATTGATGCTATTCAACAATATATATCAACATCTCTAAGTATGTGAATGAGTGAAATTCTCAAATAAATATTATAAATCAAAGTATCAATAAGAAGCTGAACCTTACGTCACAGGTTCCAATCCCATTGCTAAATGCTTTAGACAGGTTACTCCTATGAGACTGCATAAACCAAGATTCTGTGTCACGGTAGGTGTTAGCACAAAATGGATCTCATACTTCTTAAAGGCAATAAGTGCTGAGTACAAGTCTATATTTGCAGCTAATACCATCCCAAGTGGTGGCACCATGAAATGACTGAAAAATGTATGATTAAGGCAAATAAACAAACATTAAACCATTACAGCAGTCTTATCAAACAAAAAAAGCAAACTTTCTATTATTACAATTTTTTTAAACAAATTTCTTTTGCAATTTAACTGAGCAATATTTGTCCTTTTTTGTCAGTAAAGTATGATATTAAATAATTAAGACTTTTTGAGAACATCTATTTATAGCGAGTCCAGACAGCAGCACAAATCCCTGCCCATAATGCGAGCTCTTATGATAACACCTTGGCAAAAGAAGATTGTGACTTGCACATTGCTCCACACAATTTTTCCGCAGTATACTTTGGACACACAGTGCTTAGCTTCTTTAACATGTTTAAGCTACATTCAAAATTCATTTCTATTTAATTTGAATTAGCTATCCTTACTCATGTTCACATGGAGCTAATGGGAAGTAATTTAACGAGCAGTGAATTCATTCGAATTAAACATTTGAATAAACTCTCAGTGTGAACATTGAGCATGGATGCACCAAATGTCAAATGCGGCTTGACAAGCACAATCTAAATTAAAACTAAATAAGTATCTGCCCTCACCCTTACAGTCACACTGTCAATATATAATTAGTTGAATATATTCTGTAACATTAAGTGCAGTTTGAATTATAGAGTATGATCACTATGATAGATAGTAGGACTGTTGAAATTACATCCTCAAATTTAAAAAAAATAAAATATAAAGCTGTGGGGATTTACAAGGCAAACAGAGAGCGTCTGAACTGTAAAACAGATAATATATCGGTGTGTCTGTGTATTTCTAATAACATCAATGTACGTCACTGTCATGTAATCAGTAGTGTAAATTTTAAGTAATAAAAATATTCTAACCTTCATTCCAATGGTCCAAGCCAATCATACATTAAAATGTCGCCGTCAGCTCTTTCATCACTCGATACAATTATCACTGGGGAATCCGAAGCAGAGTCAAGAGTGTTCATCCTTGTTAATGTGACAGTCAGAATTTCCTCGTAAACAATTCACACAAGATTCTTAGAATATATGAATCGGGATAATTCTGCTTAGAATAATGTTCCAGAGAAGTGACAAAGTACTTCGTAGCTCCAGATTAAATGAGTGTGCATGTCTACAAACGGATTCTTTGTGAGAAAATGTTCAACTTCACAAATCATTCTATTTTCAGTTTGTAAACCATGACAAACATGTGTCCGACGTCGACTCGAAGGGGCACACTAAAAACGGGATATACTAGAGACCTGATATTTACCTGACGTTTTAATTTTTAATTAAATGGTAATATTGAGTATTTTAAATTACTTATGTACAGACTTTATGACTTCGAGGCATATGCTATACAAAAATTCAATTGTTTGGAACATTTACAGACAAATTTGAATCAGGTCAAATAAGTGTTTAGTACATCGCGTCTTTAGTACCTTCCTATTTCCCACAATGCCGCGCGTTGTTTACAAACAAGCGCGAAAAAATCCTCTAAACTAGGTACTAATTATTGTTGTGTACATCATCACATTTTAAAATTATTTGAATAAAAAGAAAACAAAGAAACACCGAATCAAAACTATATCTTTTAGATGCATCAACTAAAAATGTGCACATGTATGCAGTAAAGGCTTGGCTGGCTATAGTAGACAACTTGTTCCTGAAAGGTTTCTCACATACATGTACTTGTTTTATATAAAAAACAATTAAATATAGCTGGAAGTTTATTTCTTTTTATATCAAATGACAAGATTTTATAAGTTCGAAATTATTTCAGTCAAACTTTTTCATAATATACCAATATTTTTAGCTATCAGAAAAAACGTGTATGAGCTATTAACCCCTAATTATAGGGGCCAGCCCCTTTTCATTAATCTAATATGAAAGCTCTCGTAATTACACACAACTTTTGTTATATATTTCTTACCAAATTATTCTCGGTTCAAAAGTTATTACACAAAAAGTAGCAAAAATTCAAGAAAAAAAATTACTAAAATTTGCCGTTTTATAGCTTCCAAACTTTAGGAAATCAGCTTATAATTTTATCGTTCTGCACATCTACAATGTATTGGCTACAAGTTCTCCAACTTTCGTGTAAATATCTTACGTCGTTCTTGAGATTTTTAGTGGAAACGAGACATCAAAATTATCAATTAAAGGGCAATAACTCACAATTAAAGGCATGCATCAAAAAATTGAAAACAGGTGTAAATAGGTTTAATTACAAGGTATCTAACCTGAAAGTTTCATAAAAATCAGTCCAAAGGTCTTTGAGAAATCGCCTGTCAAAAATCGAGCGGGAAAAAAAAAATAAAATAATAATAAGAAACAGTAGAATAACAGTAGGGTCTTCCGAAGGAAGCGGAAGACCCTAATAATAACTAGAGCAAAGCTCGTTGCAAAGCAACGAGTAGGTCTTCCGGCCTGTTTTGACCGGAAGAGACGTCAACATATGAAAGCAAATGAGCTAAGTGGTCTCCATTAACTTTATAATTTTGATATTTTGCATTAAAACCTTCAAAAATAAGCTATTTTTGGCTACTTCCGGTCACTTCCGGTTTGACCGGAAGTGATGTCAACGGACAGAAAATTAAGTTTTATGCTTCCGGATACAGATTTTACCCAAAAATTCGTCAAGAACGACAAAAATATGCATATTCTGACCACTTCCGGTTTGACCGGAAGTGACGTCGCCGGACGCATTTTGACACTTCCAGTAGATTAAGCTTCACATTTTGAACAACTTTGCTTTTTTGTCGTATTACAAATTCACAATACTTTTTGAGATATAAATGAAAACCTTTCGGCCCCTGTAGGCCCTTTATTTTAGGGGCCAGCCCTTTTTTCGAGAGATCATTTGAAAGATCATGTAATTCTACACTTCTTTTGTTCTATTTATAGGTGAAAAGATATCAAAGAAAAGGTGTTAGAAATTTTAAAATTCTCGACATGCCCTTTTTCGGACCATAGCGAGCGTCGGCGTGCAGCACTTCCGGTGAAAATGAAATGCGTATGTCACATCTACATTTTGTCTCAGATTGCTCTATCATTGCTAAAAAACTCAAGTTTCTATCCTAAGCCGTTTTTGAGAAAACTCGCGGACAAATTGACCCCCTGAAAATCACTAAATCGCAAAAATCTCAAAACCGGAAGTGACGTCATCAAAACAAAAAATTTTATATCAGCTTTGTTTGATGTTCTATCAGTCCTGAAAGATTCATGAAAATCGAGCAAGCCGTTTCCGAGAAATCGTGTACACAAAATCGGTAAGAAAAAAAAAACAATAATAATAATAACTAGAGCAAAGCTCGTTGCAAAGCAACGAGTGGGTCTTCCTTCCTAGCGATAAGCAAAAGATTCAATGTTTCTGTCTAGATTGTCAACTTTGCTAACATTCTCTTTTTCGATTTGTCTCAAAAACCCTTACTTGAATTCTTTAATTTGGTGTGAGCATGAGGTCTAAAGGGTACTCTCTCTAACAGCATTCTTGAAATCGTATCCACAACAGTTTAACTTCCAATTTTATGACTTTTGATATCGGATATATCATGTTTGTTGCAATTATGTTTGTGAAACGTGTCATACTACAGAAACATAAGTGTTTTGCTACATTACCATCTTAAAAATGGCTTTAAAATCATTTAATATACAATATAACTAGGTAAATAAAATAAACAAATTATATAATAATTCAAAAAATCCAAATGTATTTACAATAATGATGAACAATCTTCATTAGTTGCAATCAGTAAGTAGAACAATACTTTTATAATAAACGCACAGAAATGTGTTGTGTATGTTTCGAATTTGCAGCTTTCCACTAGCAACTGGTGGTAACTCAATAGGAGTGTAAAATTCTCTGAAAGGTATATTGTAACATTTTACATATGTCTGTGTATTCTTTTTTAGCGGCTTTGGCGGAATGCAGCAATCACTAAATCAAGTACAAAGCTAAAAGTCTTGTACATAAACATAAATAAGAATATCTACGCTAACTTATTCAAAAGTCAATTTCCACCAAATATTGTACAAGCTAAATATAATACATTTACAGCATTAAAGAAACAAATCTCTTTGAAGGTATTGCCCTGCATAAGAACAATTTGAATCCCCTACACTAAGGATGCTCTGTGCCAATTTTCACTTTGGTTCTGGAAAATGATATTGTGAAATTTTAGACAATGATGATAATGGATAAAATTATGTTTTTAAAAAATTTACTGGTTCCTTTAGCTCAGATGGGCTAATAAGTATGCAACAGGCACAGTTTTGCAGTTGACATTGAAATGCGACTGGACATCTCTTCAATCTTGTTTTAGAAAACTACATGTACATGCCCTATGTACTGAATTCCTTGGAATCATACACATGTTTATGCCTTTAATTAGTTGTATGTGCCAAAATAACAATTTTTTTTTACATTATACTGTAAAAAATACACATACATGTATTACAAGATCTTATATTCCTGCTGAAGACAGAGGATCTATCTTAATCATTAGAATAAGTAAGTCTAAACTTTGAAAGGGAAGACCTTAATAAAGAGGTCAACATGCTACACAAACAAAATATTATTATATTTAAAAATAACATTTATTCCAATGTAATTACTGGTACATGTATTTCTGTACAAAAACTATTTCACTTGAAAAAAACTGAGAGCAATTGATATGTTCATATTTGTGGATTTATGTTGTCAAATCAAAATTTAAAAATGATACACAGTGTGTTTAAAAATTGTCTTCACAAACCAAAACTTGACTTATTTTCACTATGCTGTTTATTCCATGTCACATCCAAACAGATGATCTTCTGGCAAATCATGGTCATGCTTGGTATCAAAATTCAGTATTCAGATGAGTTACACCTATCCAAAAGAAATTGAAATTTTTTAATTTATAATTCTTTTACTAATAAAAAGTGCAATTCATGAGATTATAAATTAGATTATCAAATTGAGAGATAAGATATTGTCACATTTTCTGTGTATAATTTGTAAATTTTAATGTACTCTTTCATCAATTAAAAGAAGTTTACACCAATTAAGGCAGTCATTTATGCTATTCCCTAATAAGACAACATACAAGTGCAAAGTAATCATGCACTAGTGGGTTTAGGATAATGTGCTAGAGTATTTATGACAACATACTAGCACGAGGTGACAATGTGCTAGCATGTACGTCAGTGATAATATGCCAGCACACTGAATCCAACATGCAGTGAAGCTAACACTCAACAGATTGTTTAGAGTTGTGTTTGCATGATATTTTGTTTTGTGTAAACACAGCAGCATGTTGTTTAAAGCTGCATTGGAGTGGCAGTCTGTTGAAATTAACATGCTAACACACTGCAACTTCACATCATTGGAACACCATAATTTTAAAACTGGCAAACCAATATCTTATGATTACTAACTAGGTAATTGCAACTGTAAATGCTGATTTCATGGTGACAATAATACCGGTAATTCACTGTATATCTGAGAACTGATCAATTATAATAAGGCGTGTCCAGATAGGGCCACTTGCTAAAGCTCAATAGCACTTTCATAAAAGCGTGCCATCTTACCGACACAAAAGACGCCATTAGGCTATCACACAGCTCGCCATCACAACACTGAAAAACACTTTTCGCACTAACACAAGTTCGCACCACACGCTGTCACACTAACACACAACACACTGTCACGCTAATACAATTTCACACAACAAAATATCAGGCTAACACGAGTTCACACAACACACTATCATGCTAACACAAATTCACAAACACGCTGTCTCACTAACACAAGTTCACACAACACGCTGTCTTGCTAACACAAGTTTTACACAACACGCAGTCTCGCTAATACGAGTTCATACAACACACTGTCTAGCTAACACAAGTACACGCAACACACTGTCACGCTTAGATGAATTCACACAACACACTGTCACGCTAACATGAGTTTACACAACAGGCAGTCTCACTAACACGAGTTTACACAATACACTGTCACGCTAACACGAGTTTACACAATACACTGTCACGCTAACACAAAGTCACAAAACAGGCTGTCTCACTATTCACTAACACAAGTTCGCACCAAATGCTGTTGCGATAACACACTGTCATCCTAATACCATTTCACACAACACACTGTCATTCTAATACCATTTCACACAACACACTGTCAGGCTAACACGAGTTCACACAACACACTGTCACACTAACACAATTTACAAAACAGGCTGTCTCACTATTCACTAACACAAGTTCGCACCAAACACTGTTGCGATAACACACTGTCATCCTAATACCATTTCACACAACACACTGTCATCCTAATACCATTTCACACAACACACTGTCAGGCTAACACGAGTTCACACAACACACTGTCACGCTAACACAAATTCAAAAAACATGCAATATCGCTAACACGAGTTCACATAACACGCAGTCTGGCTAACACAAGTTCACACAATATGCAATCTCGCTAACACGAGTTCACACAACACACTATCATGCTAACACAAATTCACAAACACGCTGTCTCACTAACACAAGTTCACACAACACGCTGTCTTGCTAACACAAGTTTTACACAACATGCAGTCTCGCTAATACGAGTTTTATACAACACACTGTCTAGCTAACACAAGTACACGCAACACACTGTCACGCTTAACTATGAATTCACACAACACACTGTAATATCTAATATGAGTTTACACAACACGCAGTGAACTAACACGAGTTTACACAATACACTGTTACGCTAACACGAGTTTACACAATACACTGTCACGCTAACACATAGTCACAAAACAGGCTGTCTCACTATTCTAACACAAGTTCGCACCAAATGCACGATAACACACTGTCATCCTAATACCATTTCACACAACACACTGTCATTCTAATACCATTTCACACAACACACTGTCAGGCTAACACGAATTAACACAACACACTGTCACACTAACACAAATTCACAAAACACTGTCTCACTATTCACTAACACAAGTTCGCACCAAACACTGTTGCGATAACACACTGTCTCCTAATACCATTTCACACAACACACTGTCATCTTAATACCATTTCACAAAACACACTGTCACGCTAACACGAGTTTACACAACACACTGTCACGCTAACACAAATTCAAAAAACATGCAATATCGCTAACACGAGTTCACATAACACACAACACACTGTCACGCTAACAATTTCACACAACAAAATCTCGCTAACACGAGTTCACACAACACACTATCATGCTAACACAAATTCACAAACACCCTGTCTCGCTAACACAAGTTCACACAACACGCTGTCTTGCTAACACAAGTTTTACACAACACGCAGTCTCGCTAAGACGAGTTCAT